TCTGCAACATCGACGTGGCAGGCTGGTCGCGGGTCATGTACACATACATACAAGACCCGTGCGGACCAGGTACCGCCGTCCGGCCGGGTGTTTCTCCCTCTCTTACGCTCTTGCTTTCTCGCAGTCCCGGTTTTCTGAGATCGGAGAATTAAAGTGGCTCCCCAAAGGAACGAACGACCGGGGGCTGCCGCATCGTGCAGTAGATCGGAGCCCGAGCCGCCATGTCATCCCATTCCCATGCTAGACTGCCAGGGGAAGGGAAAAATCGAATTGCGGGATTGTGTCTCTTGGGTTTAACCTGGGCCTAGTCTAGCCCTTCCAGCCGGCCTCCAGGACCCCTGGTCTCCCGGCGATGAGCCCCGGATCCATGGTTTGCCGCCGCCGCCGCCGCCGTCGCCGTGCCGTGCCACCGCTGGTTTTTCCAGCCCGCTACTTGAGTGCATACATGCGTACCGGGAATAGATCCTTGGGAAAGCCGTTCTGCAGCTCCGTCTTGACAAGGCGCAGACCCGCTTGCTGAAAGAGGGCGCGGAACTTGTCATCCACCCTGTTTTGCGTTTGCCATGCGTCAGTGTCCTGTGTATGTATGTGTATGTATGTGTATGTACATGTATTATGCAGATGTCTTGCATGCGCCGCAGACCATCCAGTTACGTGGGCCATTGAGAGTGAACTGATGACCGCTACTGAGGCAAAGTCTCCAACAACATGACTGGCTGTGGTGGGAGAACTTGGCGACAATAGACCAGGGTAGGAAGTCGGGGAGGAAGATGATAGGTTTGAAGGTGAACTCACCTCGTCACACTGCTGTCAACATCGTCGAATAGATCGACACCGCTAGTGCTCAAGTTTTCCTTGACGACGATGAGACCATCATTGGGGGCAACAACGGCCTTACAACGGCGCATGTAGACTACAAGCTGGTCGTCGGTGAGGTGGCCGAGACACCACTGGTTCCAAATGAGGTCGTAGGCGGTGCCATCAAGTGGCTTCCACTCCTCGAGACCAATGTTGAAGACGGATCCCACACCAGACTTTTCCTGTAGAGCGGCGGTGAACTTCGCAATGGGTTCGACGATGTCAACTTGTTCAGCTACATCGAGAAGGAAACCCTCTGTGATGCGGCCGATGCTGGGGGTTGGGGGTTAGCAAGGGTCTGCATGACACGGAGACTTGAACCGGGGAGACAGGGATGTTGCAGCAAGTATCCGTACACCACGGTGAGAGGTTCCGACATGAGATGCAAAAAGTAAGACAAGGGTTGAAGAAACGGGTCAGGAGAGGCAAATCATTAGCTCGGCCCGCTCGTGCAGTGTTGCGGTTGCGGTGGGTAAGGGTAGGTAGAGAGTGAAAGTGAGACAGAGTATGGAGTAAATTGAGCATGAGTAACTGCAGAAGGAGGCAAAGAAAGAAAGAGAAAAAAAAGGTTGGGAGGCGGTGAGTTGAGATAGCGGTGAGGGACGCCAGGGGGCGTGTACGGATATGAAGTTTGCGAGGTCGACTTTTGAAAATCAAACGCAAGCCATGTCCAATGTACGGGTACACCGGACGGAAGAGAAGAAAGTCGCAAGAAAAACTCACCCGGCCCCGCCTTCCAGAGCGCGGCTCACCGTCCGCAGACCGCTCTTCGAGCCAATGCCCAGTTTGGCGAGAAAGTTGCGCGAGCCCTGCAGGTCGACCTTGCTGATGTAGGGGAAACCGCCCAGCATACCGTTCACGTCGGCATCGATGCCCTGCCAGTAATAACGGCCATCGGCGGCGCTGATCTTGGCGTCTGGCGGCGGTGTGGCTGTATGTTCTGCTGTTCCTGTTCCTGCTGGTGCTGAAGCTGCGGCAGCTTCTTCGTCACCGGGCATTGTGATGCAACGCGGGCAGCGACACGCAACCTCACTTGCTCGTCTTCAGCAGGTGTGTGTATGTGTGGTTGATGATGTGTGTGGCTCGTTGGCAGACAGCGTGGTAGTGAAGAAACGATCGGAGGTTGCTTGGCTGTGTCACATTGTTGAAGAATATGTGCACTGCATCACAGCAACAATGGTTGACGTGGATGCGAAGATGGAGATGACTCGGGTTTGTGCATCTTTACTGGATTAGAAAGAGTGACGTGCGTCTAGATGCATATAGACAGCTGATAGTACGCTAAAGCACAAGTATTGTTTAAACACACTTGAGAAAGCTCCTACCATGTGAGATAAGATAAGAGAACACCGATAAGCTGATTAGATTGGGACAGACATGGAAGTCTGGGCAGGCAGATAAGGAACCTAGAAAGTCGTCATCAATCACGCGAAAAGAAGCTCTCCAATCTAAGGTTAACCTCCCAACTCTATCATGACGGACTGCACCGGGCCCTTCGTTGCCCACTGCGCGCAATTAAGTTGCCATGAGAATGCTTGCCGGAATTTCTGCACTAGAAGAGTTTCTTTTGCCTTATGGTTCTTATATCCATCTGAACCTCCAGCCAACTTAAGTTAATCTCAGCTCCTGCAGCTGTCAGCCTCTCCCGGAACCCTACGGAACACCAGCGCGGAGCATAATCTCACTTCGATATCACGACGTGCCAAAATGACGACCTCGTCTGATGGCCCGTCGATTGCCAGGTCAGCCAGTGCTGTCTGGAAGACTCACTTCCCTTTCATATTCAGTCTGCAATGTGGCACCGCCTGCGCCCGAACACACACCTCTATGTGAACGACACTTTGCAGGATCGTTCGGCCGTTATGCGCATCAATTTTCAGGCAGCGGGACGTTGGAGGATTCGAAGGGACGATTTCGACTACATATTCCAGACGGTCTCTGTCTTCTCAACTCCTGGAACCAGTCAGGTGACTGTGCTTTTCCATTCGGAAATATTTGCGACGAAGCGGGAACTGTTTTGCCTGTTAGCCGGCCACCGACAGCAAAAGTCGCCGTACTCAGCCACACAAGTCCATGCCGTCCTCGTTCTCAATTGCCTCATGGACGTTGTCAAACTGACTGGCTTCATCAACGGACGAGGTGGTTTTCCTGAAATGGACTCTCGAATGAAAATAGTTTGTCGTCCCGGTGGGATCGATGGGATTTCCTGTTAGGATTCGGCTGCGACGATGCTCACCTCGTCTCCCAGAGTCCCCACGACTCCGGCAAAACTTGTCTCTGAAGTGAGCGGCTCATGTCTAAAACTTCCAAAATCGGAGCCCGAGGGACCGCAGTGTGGCCTGTGTCTCGAGTTGCAAACGATTATTTCCAAATACCTACCAACTGATCTGCGATGGAACCAGGAATCCGGGGATGCCAAGAGTTGTAACCAATATGCAACCGATATCAGGCGCGAGAAAGATTATGGAACAAAGGATCTGCAGATTCCTTGGAGGACATCGTTTCCTCAACCTCCAAGGCCTCACCCTGGACGCCTCGGCCATGGCCGGTGCCTTTGTCGACCTCTCTTGACCTGTCGACATTGACATCATGTGATACTCCAAGAAAACACAGCCCAGTCGAGGTTGTGCGTGGTGCGGTCCAGGCTTTTTTGAGGCAAGGGGCCTTTCTGGGCTGAACGCAAAGCCCAGCCGTAACCAGGCACGCCAGGTTTCTCCTACACACTACCACGCTTCTGATACTAGCCCGGGGCCCGAACGTCCAAGATTGGATCCCCTTTTCTTCCCCGCGGGGGCGGAACCTGCGGATCGCGTGAGGCGACGTTCGATTGCCTGTCTAGATCACTGGTTCGGTATTTCGGCAGCCTTGTGGCTGCATCTACTAGTTGAAGCTGTACGGCTCTTCGGCTTTTAAGCGCCGTGTCAAAAAGCTTGACTGACAACGGCCACCGACGACGGCATACTGCACCCGCGCCGCGTAAGTCTATTCCCTCGCATCACGGGTTTCCTTGAATTTTTCCTCGGTGAACACGATATCCGGAGCTGAACCAAAGTTCAAGGACAAGGGGCTGTCAGATTTACAGTTCTATGCTTCTTTCTTATTCCGTCACCAGGCCCTAGTCATTTGTCAATTGCGCATATCAGCAGTTCTCGAGAACGTCAAGAAATGCGCGCAATCCCCCCTGGAACGTTTAATCCGCTAGCCTATCGAATCTTGTCGTTTTCGGATTGAGTCGTGAGCAACCATGCAACGAATGGTGTCGAGAAGACGACGAGCAGGGTGGGACGAAGCGAAGCGGTTTGAGGCGGTTTGACCTTGCTGTGTTCTGCAGCGACGGCCCAACCACAGCATCTTTCAACCACCAAAAGGGGATCAGGGGGATTGAACAAAGTTTGCTGCCTTCAAACATGAAAAAACGCGAAGAGAGGATGAGAAGAGGGGCACGAGCCAGGCAGATCACCCGTGGTCGTGGTTAATCGTGTGGATGTCTCTCCGGATCCCCAATGCTTATTCCTGAGACTGGCCAGGGGCGACCTTTGAGTTCCGAATCAAGCATGAATAACCTTACAAAGTCTGTGGGTGGCCCTGGTTCGCGCTGCATGATACGAAAAGGGTGTGGGACTGAAGACTTCGGACGAGGGAACAGAGTTTCGGTTGCCTCGAGCACCTTACCCTTTCTGAAGGTCTGGATGTAAAGGACTTGGGACGACGATGGACCGAGTCCCGAAACGACTCTCTGCGGTTGGCCTGACTCAACGGCTGTTGCTATTCTCATTACGATGCAGATGAGGATATCGACAAATCGTCTCTTGATCCATGAGTGGTGGCTCAGCGCCCAGCACATTGACATCTGTCCTGCTAGAGTGGTTTCAGGCACCCTCGGTCACAATGTCTCGACATGTTCCGCCTCACGCCACTCACAGTCGTATTGGGGCCACCTGATTTGGGACGAAGGACGAGTGAGTACATAAAGATCTGACCAGTTCCGCGTCGTTTAAATTTTTTTTTGATTTGGTTCGACGGCAGGCCTCACAGTATCAAATTTAATACAGACATTCCCTTGGAAACAGTTGCTTCGGTTCAACATTCATCACAGAATCATCTAATATTTCATCAACTTCGGTTCACTTCAGTCCATCAAAATGAAGTTCCTTACATTCGGATTCCTTCTCGCCTCGACGATCGTTAGCGTCAGCAGTGCTCCCACAGATATCGATAGCAGGGCTGTCAGGTAGGTCCAGCAGCATCACTCGTGTTGTATCGAGCAAGCCGACTAACAACACTTTCAGTTATCAAAACAACTATGACCAACACTTGGAGGACCGCGAGGAGCGCAAGGAGGCTCGCGACATCTCCATCCCCTCGTTCGCCGGCGTCGAGACCACCAGCGGTGTGGTCGCCGACATCGAGGTTGAGGAGAACGCCGTCCCTCTGAGGGCCCGCCAGCTTCTCAAGAAGAAGAAGGGCAAGAAGGGCAAGAAGGCTAAGAAGGCCAAGAAGGCGAAGAAGGCCGCGAAGAAGGCAAAGGCTGCTGCCCCCGCGAAGGCCAAGGGCAAGGCCGCGACCCCCGCCGCCGGTGCTGCGAAGAAGAAGGCCGCTACTCCTGCTGCTCCCGCCGCCGGTGGTGCTGCTGCCAAGGGCAAAGGCGCTGCTGCTCCTGCTGCTCCCGCCGGTGGTGCTGCTGCTAAGGGCAAGGGCAACGCTCCCCCCGCGGCTGCTCCTCCTGCTGCTGCTCCTCCTGCCGCTGCTCCCAAGGCTCCCGCGGCTGCACCTCCTGCTGCTGCTCCCAAGGCTCCCGCAGCCGCACCTCCCGCCGCTGCCCCCAAGCCTCCTGCTGCCGCGCCTGCCGCCAACCCTCCGGCCGCTGCTCCCAACGGCGCCGCGAAGCCCATTACTCCCGCTCAGCCGGCTGCCGTTGCACCTGCCCCTGTCGCTCCTGCGATCCCCGCGGGCAAGAACAACGGCAACTGAGTTACGTCTCAGCAGCTGGTTGTGGAGGTTGGAGGTTAATGGATAGAGAAAATCAGCACTGGTGCTGGTTGCTTGATTCGGTTCACGAGGTTTACGACAATGCGCAGTTATGGCGATTTCACAGGGCCAAACAGATGTGGTGACAAAAGAGTTTAGCCGCATAGGACGTGGGCAAATCCCCTTCCCTTTGGGACCCTTCCTCCATCTCAGTGGTGGTCGAGTCCGTGGGCTTTCGTCCCTGACGGGCCTCAAGAAGGCAGCCTAGGAGCTGTCATTGAGACGTCTGGATGAGTTAGGGGTTTGAGACCGGAGTGCGGAAGTACATACATAGCCACAACGAGCAATCCAAGCGTCAGACGTTTATTCCCATCTTCGTGTTTATCTCTGTCTCTTAGTCGCAGTGAGTTGCGAGTGTTCGCCGCTCTCTACACAGTGATCTCGGATATGTCGATGCGTATACATTTGTGAGACGAGATAACTTGGCGCTATGATGTCCGCGGCCTCCTCTTCACCAAGGAATCCCTTTTCTCGTTTCATGAATTGGACCCATGGAAACATGTTTCACTCTGGTCCCTGCCAACCACCACACCATCTTCTTCAAACCCACAGACATGCAGGTCATGTTATACCCATGTGCACGCTGTGGCCGTCTCAACTTCTCTCCTGCTTGCCTCCCCCTCTTCCCCCCTCCCCCCTTCGGTTCGTTACATCTTTACTTACCAGTGTCACCATTCAAGGCCAAGTTTACGAGCGACGGGACCCGATCTCTCCGGCGACCTGATCAACAGATTGAATGCAACCCTCTCTCATGAGATTTTCCGAGTGGCTGAACCGAGATGTGTTAATGTAGCTCTGCACGATTCTTTACCCTCCTTTGGCAGCTACCTCGCCGTCTGTGTAGAATTAGTCGAATATCTTAGCCAACACTCCCGACTCAAGTCCGAGAGCTCCGGCCGCTCCATCCGGTCGCACCGGACATCGACGACCAATAAAGATCTCACTCCCACGATTCGGGCTTTACGTCAAATGAAGCTTTCCCTGTCTGAGTCCACAGCCCCTCGAGGCAAGTCCACTTTTTCCATCCTTTGTTGCGCTTTTCTCTCTTTCGTTCTTTTTTCCCCCTATCCCCACCGAATTAGCTATTTGCGTCCCCGTTTTGCCGCACGCACATTGAAGAAAATTTCAACGACCTAATCCACCATAAAGCCCACAACAACCCTCGCATGAAAGGACTAAAAGCAGATTCTGCTCCCAACCTTCCCATGAACGGGTATCCATCCCTTCGACTCCATCGAGTCGTTAAATGGCCGGTTGGCCCAATGGCAAGGCGTCTGACTACGATTCTGTAATAAGAACGTGTAATCAGGAGATTCTGGGTTCGACCCCCAGGCTGGTCAAATCTTTTGCCTCTGGGCGTATTCTACACATCAGCAGCCTAGTTGGTAATTTTTCCTTTTGTTTCCCTTCCATTTTGGCCGAATATGCCGAGTGTGTCTCTTCTTGCACACTCGAATGCCACCTACTTAGTCAGGTGAGCGGCAACTGAGCTCTGGTTGGGTGGCCGTGTAACATGAAACAAGTCCCGAGTCTGTCGTGGGCAAGCAGAAACCCGGTCGCACTTACTGGTAACCTGTCTCTCCGTCGAGGGATTCGTTGACGGTGGAAAGGTGACCAATTTGATGATTGCAATCATTCACAACGAACCGTAGGACGTTGACGAAAAACTCTCTGCCCACGAATGCAAAGATTTAGGGATAAGCTTAAACTGGGTGACAGAACTCAAGCGTGACGCGAACGAGAAGTTTGTTGTGGCGATGCTTTTAGCTACTGAGGGCCCTCGTCCCCTGTAGAAGCTCAGGCTTTTGCTCTGCAGTTTGTCAATCTGAGCTTGTTCAGAGAGGAAGACGTCATGATCATGAGTCGTCACCGGATCACGCGATAGAGTCGTTTTGAGTTTGTGCTTTTTGAGTTCGTTGTCGTCATCAGTAGGGACTTGGCTTCGTCGAGGATTGCTCAGGAGGCGAGAGAGTCTCTTAGAATCGCGGTCAACGATGCATTCTCAAAAAAATATGGTCTACTTTCAACTCCATCCCTTCAATCGTATCATGCACACCTCTTGTCGTAAAGCATCGCCGCTCTCCTAAAGATTCCATAAACCTATGGCTCTTGGGCCATGTCGGAAGACTTCTCTCGCTTCTCTCCTCTATCAGGGATCCCTCGACGACTTGCAAAAGCTTATTCGCAACGGGCGTTGTGACAAATTCTCCCTCCCCAATCACAGAGTCACACTTGGAATACAATCTGGCTCATGTGTCTGTTTGTTCATTAATCATGACTTGCGTTCGAAGTCTTGTAGAACAGACGAGCCGTCATCGAATAGCCTTTCCATTAGCCCAACTGTCAAGTTTCTCGAGGTTAGGTTTTCTCTGCTTCTTCTGCACACTGTCAGTCAATATGTCTTTTAGGATTAGTTGAGCACGTATTGTCTTGAGATCACAAACCCCGAAGGACCATGGTCCCCTTCTATGCAATTGAGTCAGCCCTTTGCCCGTGTAGTCGGTGGAGGAAGGAGAGCCTCATTATTCGACATTACATATCGATGCCTCTCCTTTGCATCATTTGTTAAACTCAAGATATCAGAAGAGATTAGCCAGGCTGAGAAAAATCGACTAATCAATCGACCCCATCCACATCAATCAACCCTAGGCTTCATTTACACACCAACGATTAAGCAAACACACTGTATGTAATGAGGCGTGATGCACCAAGACATACATACTATTGGATCGCCCCACTGGGTTCCGACTACCTTAGGCTTGGAAATACACGTGTAGTCGGCATGTATGCAATCGGTGGCACATACATTAAGAAGAAAATAATCCGTCAGGTGTTGATGGATTCATTGTTAAGCTGATGGGTCAAATGCTTCGGAGCAAAAAGGTTGCTCCTGGTGAGGATCGAACTCACGACCTCCGCATTTCTCACATTGATGATGTAATTATAAGAACGGCGCCTTCACCACTTGGCTACAGGGGCTTTCTTAACTTCCGACGAAATTTAGCTTATGTACTCTTGCTCAACCCCCGAAGCTCGGTCCGGCACCACGCGACGGAGCGGCGCAGCAACTGCCCATACATCCACATACACAAAGCACAACCCGCAAAAGCATCCAATGCAACTCCGATTTTCATCACAAAGAGCGCTGTCCTCGAATTCGTCGACATGCTCTGTTCCAACGCGGCGATGTGCACTGTTAGTGCAGTACATTGCTGCAGTGCACCACCTCTATCAGAGACTTTGATTGGGTGATCTGGTCTTTTGGTGGGGTCCGGATGACAGGTTGCTGGTGAGGGGGAGAATAGCGATCGGAGATTGGGAGTCAGATACCTTTATAGTGCCCTGCAGTCGTTCCGCCCTCTTCTCAATGGGATACAAAATCTGCCCACGACGCCAGGCTCAAATGCTCCAGCAAGTGCAAGACGAGTTGGGCGCGAGACGACCGGCAAAATTCGAAGCGGATGCATGTACTCAGATGGATATTTACTTTGAGACTCTCCCTTAAAAGCAACTATTTGGCTTTCTTCTAAGAATATGTTCCATTACACCTCTGCATTCTGACCGACATACATAGTATAGAAAGGCTCAAACAAGGCGAAAGGCACATATGAGGCACCTTAGCCCTTCAATGCTGCTACCGTGGCCGCGAGCGCCGTACCGGCAGGTGGGGCGCCCGGAGTCCGGAGGACGTTAAGCATTACCGAAGGCGAGCGCTCCCGATGACTCTGCCCGGGACATTAGCACGTACCCGATGGAGATTCTTAGGATAGAAAACTCAGCCCCGTAATCTTTCTCCCGTCTTCCTAGTTGGAGACATCGTCATATAGCTGTCATCTCAACCTTTTCACACCTGCGAGCAAATATCCCCGTTCACCTAGTAACTCATCCTCGTAAGCAAGCTTCTTTTATGAGACCCATCCTCTTTCCTATCTTCCGCTCTGCATCATCGTACCCGCCCGGCATAGACACTTTCGAATAGCCTCTTTTATCCCCCAGGTCTGCTTCTAATTAGTAGTGGACTTGATGATTTTGATGATTTGGGCCTAAATCATCGCCCCTGGTCGGGACATGGATCGGACCAAATGAGAACGACTTCTGAGAGATCTATGCATAGGGCGACAGAGTAGAGACAAAGTGTGGAACGGAATCTTCAATTGCATCAGCAGATAACCAGGACAGTTCTTGAGAGGCAACAAATCCAGCATTCCATTAAGCCGAACATCGGCCAGACAAAAACAGGAGACATGCAAGCCCAGCAACAGGAATGCTTACATACATCAAGATGTGTGAGTTGAGCCTTTGTATCGTTCAGACACAACACCGTATGTAATTGTGCGACTGACTTCATCAGAGGTCGCCTGTAACTATACCCCAGGTCTTTCTACCTTATCGTACGTGTTGCGAGAGATATCCCACCTCGAATGCAGTCTTCATCCGCTTACTCCGAACCAGACGGAAGTAGACGAGGATATGGTCAATACCCCAAAAATGAACTCTGTATTTGGACCACAAATTGAAGAGAAAGATTGGAATTTGAACGTGTCGTCTCTGGGAATCGCCCACTGGACCTTCTGAACACATCAACTGAAGCTCTTGATATAGGAACACGAGGCAATAAAACATGAAGGAAGGAAAAAGGCAAAGGCTACCAAGATCGAGAGTAAAAAGGGGGCAGGTGGACATGAAGAAAAGCCAAAGCACCTACTAAAAGCATAAGCCAGTCTAGCAATGTTGCCGATTGCCTTGTTCGAGATTACTTTCACCTTGTCTCCTCCAACGTCACACTCCAGCCTCACACGCTTCGTCCTCACTACCTCACACCTCGTACCCACCTTTTCACGTTTATCAACAGCCTCACTTCATACCTCAACACGTGACTTGGGATCATTAAGCCTTATCGTGTATATTCCGACTCACCTCTTCACAATAGCTGTTGACCATGA